ATGACATGAAATTTGGAGGGAATATACATCTTACTGAACACATCTAATAAAAAAAAATATATATATATGTAAAACAAAATTGACCAAAATACCTCAAAATAGTTTCAGGGGTATTTTGGTCAATGTTTTTCATGTAAAATATTTTTTTTTATATTTTTCGAAGATTCTCTTATTTTTGATGAATACACACTCTAAATTTCAGGTCATTCTAATTTTTAAAATATAAAATAAAAATAACACACTATCCGACAATAGTGACCGCGCTATGAACTTTGGACGGTGATGGGGGTAAGCAAAAGCACTGTTCATTTTCGCCTATAGGCGTTGCGTGGTGTTTTATATATATATACTATGAGACCATTTGTCTTTGTTACAAGGAGGTTATAATTACTTCTAACTATCAAATGTCAAATTGGATAGTTTATGATGTGTCATAAAGTTCAAGAATTTTTTTTTTTAACTTTAAATCTGATGCACTTACGTCCACCTACTATAAAAAGTTAATAGACAATAATGAATGTGATCTCCGTTACTAAAATTAAATAGTCTCTTTATGTACTTTTCCTATATAAATATTATTGCTATATACTTTTCCTATATGTAATATATGTATGCGTGTGAGTATGCATCTATGTCAAACTTCAATACGCATATACGTGAATTTGTGCTTTCTTATATGTGAAAGCAAAACTTGAGGATGTGAAACAATTAATTATCCTAGCCACGTGGTAGCTTAAGTTTTCCATGAAATTACATATGCGAAGTAACGCAACGTCATAACCGGGTTTATTTACTAAAAAAATGGGTTAACGTGTTTTTTTTCAAGAGTATTATTCTTATTATTATTTAATTACTCTATTTAAAAATAGCTTTCCAATCATGGACATCTATAATTTTTATCTTCAAAACTTCGATTTTGTTTTCAAAATCAGTTTGCATAAAAAAATATTAAAGAAGTCATCACTAAAAGGCAACTTTCACGCTCCTCGAGTTTATCAAAAGATCCATAAATGAATGAGCAAGAGAAATAAGGGCAGCTTTCTATATTTTCCCTACAGTAAAAAAAAACTTTGTTCTTTCTCCCTGTCCGACGATCTATTCTGAATGGTGGCCCGGTCACAATGTCACACTTGGACATTATTTTATTTCTACAAAACATTTTGATACCGAATTTTGGTCAATCATCTGTTAAACTTTTACCGGTACAAAATATAAAACAAACATCCCAATAAAATAAAATAACAAAAATGCTCTTGAAAATTTTAAGAGTATTTTGATCATTTTATTTTATCATTTTAAAATAGTTTTTTTAGGTGCGGCCCTTTAAGATGATGGCATATATCGAATTTAATAATCATCATATAATTTATAAAAAATAATTAAATATAAAATACTTTGAAGGGTCGATCAAATGATCAGTGGCTCACTTGATTTGATTTTTGTTATTTTTTTGAGTAATTAAGTGGGGAAGATAGGCCCTACCTATTTTTTCAAATAGTTTAAGAATTCGTTTTTTAAAATTATTAATGAGGTGGAATTAGTGGAAATGGAAACCACAACTTAGTGACTAGGGTGTGGAGGTGCTACCACCACGACGACAACCCCTTTCCCACTTCACCTAAATTGGATGGTTGGATAGAGCAGGAGTATATAGCTTCTATACAGTAGGAGAAGTATAGAAACCTTTCCCAAGAAATATTACATGGCAATATACATTTTGTGTTTTGCATTGTAGCTAAAAAAAAAAAATGATAAAGTTAACGGTTCAAAATTAATAAATACAAAACACCATATGCATATTTGTATAACTAGCCAAAAAAAGAGAGATAAAGATAAGTACTATGTACATAGAGGTTGGTTATATAGTAAAGTGAGAATGGCTTGGGGCCTTGGCGGTAGTATTATCGAGCTCCATGATAAGATGTTTAGCTCCATTCTCACCAAAGAGTAGGGGCCCAAGTACCCACTAACATACAACTTTTTTACTTACCAAAACATAAAAAGTGGGTGAGTGAAGCCATAAGTCACAAAGTATCTCGTTAAAATAATATTATTCAATAG